ACAGGTGTTCACCTTTAGCACACCAGCAGCAGCGGTCTCACCTCAGTGAAGCTCCATGACACAGCCCTGCCCTTCTTGTCCACCTGAGGGCGCCGCATTACTTCCTTCCCTCCTTGGAACAGCACCAATGATGGAAGCTGCTTGGAGAGTGGAGATGCTGACACCTTGTACCTGCAGAACAGGGAGTGCTCATATGTATGTGGGGAGCCAAACGTCACCGAGGAAACTGATTTAAACGGCTCTTACTTTTTGGAAACCTCTCCATAGCGTCCGATGTCCACTTTGCCAAACTTCAGGCCAGCACAGTTGTACCTATTCCACAGAACAGAAGCACTGAAGTTACTCCTGAACGCAGATGAAGACACCATTTCAGCAGAGGATGGTCTCAGCCTTACTTGAGCGAGAGATCAGCGTACACCGAAGCGAAGGACTGGCACTCTGGAGACCAGTTGGCAAAAAACTCGACGATCCACGTCACACGACCGTCTCTCGCCAGTTCATCCTGGACACACACGGTAAACGCACACTTTAAAACAACTGCACACAAGTGTGTTTCACCAACAACCAAACCTCTACCAACTCTTCCACTCGTACTCACATCAATAGTTTTGTCACTGAAGTATTTGATGTACTCGGGTCCCATGTACAGAGGAGGCTTACAGGTCATCAAGAACACTGAAACACACAGAAGATCACAGCAGATGATCTCACACTCAGTCTTTTTCAGCTCGAGGGAGCTGCTCCCAGCAGGATCTTACATATTAGTGAACTTACTGTCTTTGTACGTTAACATATTATTTCCCTTGTCTGAGGGAACGTCAGCCCAATAAGCATCCAATGAAACACCTTATTTTCTTATATCTCCAGTTTTCAGAGTAACTCACTTCCAGCTTCTCGTTTCAGATTTCTATGGCTGATCGTAGCTAAACATCAACTCATGACAACTCTAAAGGCCTTTGATCCGTTAATTCATCACAATCTTAGAAACGTAGATGACGTTCAAGCTCCGACCCCTCTGCCTCGATCCCTTGCTCTGCTGTTTTAACCGCTTTGACTGTGACTCTTTCTTCTTTAGAGGATGTGGTCGGCCACCTGAGGCCCTCCAAATGATCCTGTCCCACCACAACTGTTTCAGGAGATGTTTCCTAGCATAGGCCAGGCTGTTACTGTTATAAACGGCAGTTTAATATCTGGTGTCGTCCCTGCTCATTTCAAGCATGCATTAGTACAACCCCTGGACCACACTGTGCTGGCTGACTACAGGCCTCTCTCCAAGTTGTCTTTTATGTCTAAAATCTTAGAGAAAATTGTGCACGGCCAACTGATGGATTTGTTAAAGGAGAATGGTTTCTTAGTCTTCCAGTCAGGTTTAAAAACATTCATAGCACTGAGTCAGCGCTCTTAAAGGTTTTTAATGATATCCTCCTTTCCTGTGACTCTGGTAATCATGTTGTTCTTGTCCTAACAGCTGCCTTTGACACTGTGGACCACAACATTTTACTGACTCGCTGCACCATCTTGCAGGCATTCGTGGTACTGCTTTGAAATGGTTTAGGTCTGATCTTTGTGACAGAACTTTCAGTGTTAACTTTTTAGGGTTGAGTCCTTCTCTGCTTTTCAGCTTGGGGTCCCACAGGGCTCAATTTTAGGGCCTCTGCTTTTTTCATTATATTTACAGCCCCTGGGAACCATC